TAATAAAAATTAAAATTATAATAATGATAATGAAAAATGAATCCATTCATACAATTTTCTATCATGTTTTTATACTCATAAAAAGAGTACCATATTTTATGATCTTTTTTACCCTTTGACGGTGCAAGCGTTCAGAATATTATGAGATACAATGTCCAAAGGCAGGCAGCCAATAGCGCATGGCTAAATGTTCATTACGTTTTGCTCTCAAGTGGACGAATCGAACGAGCATAACAAGACAGAAGTGAGGAAACATGGACAATGCACTTTCTCGCATCTGCTAAAGCATATAATACCCGCGGCCATTTAATATTTGCTGAAGCATGAGAAAGAAAATGACATGGCGTACCTACTAACAACTCCATTACATAAGGGTATAAGTAGTCAACTGTGCACCGTTTATGGATTTAGGAGGTATATACAATAACTTCAGAACTTAAAGTTACGAGATTCTTAAAAATTTACTCGACCTAAAAATACAGCTTATAAAAATATCACACATCTCTCAAAATTTAATATTGACAACTCATGCGTGTTTTGCTCGTTAAGTAAAAAAAAATTATGAAAAAAAAAAAAAAAAATAAAAATATTAAAATACGGATTTAAGCACAGATCAAGTTCGCATGAATAAAATAAAAACTTAAGACGCACTAGTCAATGAAAAAAAGCATGAAAATACGTTATTATCATTCTCCTTTCATTTACATCACTGAAATAACTACAACCATCCTCTTATATACATGCATTTTCATCACCGTGATATCGACGGCTGTTGAAAAGCTTCAAGTCGTCATAGTCCTCATCGTCGTAGTTGTCGCAGTCGTGGTCGATGTCGCCGTCGCGGACGTCGTGGTCACCGTAGTAGCTGTTGCAGTCGTAGAAGTCGCCGTCGCCGTAGATCTCACGTAGAAGAGAAGGTAAGGTGTGGCAGAATTTCTGGGATTAGGTGCGAGCTTGTCTTGAAGTTCTCGTGTGGGTATTACACGGACCGCCTCATCGTCACACTCGAGCCACGTACCACTACTTTGGCGGGCCGTCTGCCTGATACCGCAACATTCGTTGCCCCTGCAGCCTTGAGCTTTTTGCTGCTGTTGTTGTTTACCTCGCAAAGGTACTCCCTTGTTCTCAGTGGGCTTGTTGCCAAAGCAACTGAAAAAAGCTGTGATCTTGCTATTGTCTGAGCTGTGCTGACCGTTCTGGTGAGCATTAGTTGAATTATTTGGCTGCGGGAGACAACAAAGTTACATTAAAATCGTGTAATTTTGGTTATTAGAAAAAAAAAAAACAAAAACAAAAAAATGAGCATAAATTTTCACCTGTTTTTGTTGGAGTTGAGCATTATCACGTTCGCATTGCTGATATTCATCATGAGACGATTCACCGGGCAAGCGCGTATACGCAACATAATGACCGGCTGTCATTGTCGCCCCTTGATGCATTATCACCGAATAAAGGTTGTAAACGTGCCGTTGGCTCGGATCTTTAGCTGGAACACTGGACGACGAACTAGAACCGTAGCGAAGCTGATCTGTAATAATGTTGCATTCTTCACAGAAACATTGAAGATTCAGAGGCGTTGGCATGTGATGATTAATTTTTTCCATGGAACTGCGATGTAAAAATAATTAATTAGTTTTTTCATGATTGATCATTTTCAAGCAATAAAACGTGACAAGTAATTAGCCTACCCAGCAGCAGTAGAAAATCTTTTTAACTGTAAAACAAGTAATCTTGGCAATGAAGGAAAGCATATAGCTCGTCTAGCTTCGTTATAACGGAGACATGTGGCACACCAGTATTTATTTTTATCACATAACAATTCACTCATCACTACTGCTTTTTTGTAAATAGCACTAGAATCCATGGTCTTTCCATCTTCATCTGAAAATAATAAAAATGTTATCAATGATAAATACACAAATTATGGCGAAACATTTTTTGTGCTTTTCAAGGATTACCTTTCTCATTAGAGCGATCCATTTCAATTGGAACACATATATCACAAAAGGTCTCCTTCCTTTCTGTGACCTGTTCGCACTCCAGGCACGTGGTTCGCAACAGACTGACGCCTTCAAAGTCTTCGGAAATAAAGCACTTTTTATTCTCGAGTGGTCCGAGCGAATCGAGCTCACCATTACTCATAGCAAGTGGTGTAATGCTGCCGTTTTCGAGCTGTTGCTGTTGCAAGCTTAAAGTTTTGGAGGCAATCGCACCATTAAGGTTGGTCTGAACAAGTGCGCTCGCGCTTGAAGCTCGCATCGAGCTCGATGTTGGCTTTTTTTTCGATTTTTGCGATTTGCGTGTTCCACGTTTGCTACTATCCGACTGCACTGCCCTACCGTCTCGCAGAAAGTCGCTTTGGCTGCTACTACCTCCATCGATTCGCCAGTTGAATTGATTTTCTCGGTGACGAACGAGCAGCTGGAACGTTTCACGAATGTTGTCGAGGAGGCAGACGAGTAGTTCGTGTGCATCCTGCTGTTGATTACCCTCAAAGATGGGATTGACATCCCTGCAAATGAATAAAACTCTGTTTGGTTACCAAATTTCTAATAGAATTAATGGTAATTGAATATATCTATAGTGTGATTAAAAATAAAAGATGAAAAAAAGTGCTGTACCTCAAGGCTTGTAGAAAAGCATCAGGCTGAAACGGTTCCGAATTTTCTCTTGCTTCCAATTCTCTCAAAGATATAAACAATTCGTGCAACTTTTCAGTAGCAACTTGAATTCGAGGCTTATTCAGTTCTGTTGCTGTACTAGCAGCTGTCAGTGATGGGAGATCTTTGTTGCTCCAACTACGATTGCTACTTGTTGTAGATGATATACCAGTTCGACCCAGTGAGGATATTTTAATCTGCAATGTAAAAGTTGAGTCTACAATTACACAGCAAGAAAATCAAATATGTAATCGTAATCAAATATGTACATAAATTTGAAATCAGCACGTACTTTAGTTTGAAGCTGTCTTTCACTTATGATTGATAAGTCTGTTGCGAGATGATGGAGATTGTGTAAGAAAGATGGTGTGCATCGTAGCGTATAAAGTACACTGTTCAAAAAACAGGTATTTCCCAAGTTACACAAAGTTGCTATCTTCAAGCCTCCAGTTATAACATTGGATGAAAAATCATATGCAGGATCTCTGTGAGTGCTACCTAGCCTTTGAAAGTCATTCAACATTTTTATTGGCTTGTTATCTGTTTAAACAATAAAATATGATTCATTAATTAAAGCTTGATTGATAATACTAATACTCTTTACAAAAAAAGAATTTTAAATCTTACTCAATTGCATAGGACGCAATTGGCTAGTACTAGCCCGTCCAGCAGACTGGGTATCAGGTTTACTTTTGTTAACTCCTTGATTATGTCTCTCCGACAAAGATAGAGAGAGACAAAGTTTCTTCCTCGGAGGGTTAGGGTGCTCATCAGTATCTTCCTCTGCTTCTAATACTGTCATTTTCTGTCAATCTACAAAAGTCGTTATAAAAACAATTTGATTAACATTGATTCGTTAAGCAAACTTCCAAAGTATAAAAAAAAAAAATAAATAACAGATAGGTAAATGGCACATAACAAGCGAGCAAACCAAGTTTAGCAACTATGTCAAACCAGTAGGAAAAGCTTTTATTTTGTCCACGAGTTGGACACACAGATTTAACGCACGCGGGATGCAGACAGACATCTCCCACAGGTATCATCAGAAATATTTATAAAAATTAAAATCTTACACACACGCTTGAACTCTTCATAATAATATGAAAATAGGTAAGTAAAGTACAAGTAATTACCCCACGACCAAGGCCATATGATTTCTCGCGCACTACTTCTTGTATCACATCGCCGGCAGCTCTGGCACTAGGTGTATACTGTATGTATATGTAGGGTATGAATAATACACGCAGAAGTCATGGAACGTCGGCTTGAAAGGGACAGCTTCGTTGCCCGTTCATTACCTTCTCCAGGGCAAGATAGATATCCAGGTATACCTAAGAAAGTGAATGCTACAGAAAAGAGATAATGTACCAAACAGTCAAAAAGGTGAAAGGTCCAGAGGAGGAGGCCGTACTTTAGGTATTGTAATTTGCATGCGCGCGCGCGCTACGCGCGCGAAAGCACTTAGCACTCTGGTGCACTGCACATGAGGGAAAAATCTTTGGTGATCACTCGCGAGCTGAACCAAAAGGGATGCTGCCTATCAGCAGCATCCGATGTACCTATTGCAGTGTTGTAACCAGCAAGAGTGTGGTGGCTGATGGTGGCGACAGTTTGCTTATCCTTTTTCGGGCATCATCTGTTCTGCGAAAAGTATTTCAACAATGTAATGCACCATCGACCCTGGACCTCGCGTTGAACGTACCTACTATCCTCACTTCATCATCCAATTAATTACCCAATTTACTTATTATCCCTATTACAGTGATTTATTTATTTATACCACATAAATGTACAATTCCTTCTTCTTTGCTAACTTCACTGTACTTATAGTTTGAAGTACACTCGCTGTTTTTACCACCACACTATACCAATACCGCGTAATTCGTAGTTGTGTGTGTACAAATAAAATGTAAAATCTTTCATTTTATAATCAGCGCCATCTCGCGTGGCTGATTTCGAGCCCTAAGCCACGATTTTATATCATTCTGGTAAAGAGAGCACCGTGTTAACCGTGTAAGATATACGTAAAGTTATGTGTCGTAATTATACTAATTAGTGATTATAATCACTATACGAAGTAGTGCCATATGGGGTGTTTTCCGCAATCGTCACCAACAAGTAATTCAAGGTTGCGCTCTACGTTACCGTCAGGTCGGTAAGTCAACTACCTCGAATTAAACTGGCGCTCTGTTCCGATAATCTGGCCAGTTAAAATAGCAGACGACAGTCAATAGCGACGAAATCTTCACTTTTTTCTCGACTTTCACGTCGTCTGCTGTTTTAACTGCAGTTATGGCCAGATTCCAGATTACGGAATAGAGCGCCAGTATAGTTCAAGGTAGTTGACTTACCGACCTGACGGTAACGTAGAGCGCAACCTTAAATTCCTTGCTGCAGCATGGTGACGATTGCGGAAAACACCCCAAGCGGCGTTATCACCACGACCTACGTAACTTTGCAGCCTCTGATTTTATCATTCTGATAAAGAGAGCACGGTGTAAGATGTACATGAAGTTATGTGTAGTAATTGAAGTAATTGCTACTAAGTAATGCCATATGGTCGATTTTATTAAACCATATGAATATCTACATTTTTGGAGGTCAATTTTTGGATAAAAGGTAAATTGTAAATTTGCCGCAAATAACACAAACAATCTTATCTTTTTATCTTCTATCTATAAGATTCGTTGCGGCTGGTTTATAACTAATAAAATGACTTTACTGTAAGTAGCAATAATTATTTTGGATCAGCGCCATCTAGCGGTCTTTATTTTTTGGCCAAAAGTGGCTCCTAAAATTCTTAATCAGAGCATTCAGGATTAGAGTCATTTAATCAATTATAAACCAGCCGCAACTTATCTTGTAAGCTATAAAATAAAAAAATAACGATACGTGTGTTTTTGGCGGCAAGTCAACAATCTATCTTATGCTTAAAAATTTATCTTTAAAAGTACAAACACATAGAAGGTCGATTTTTTGTGTTATTTGCGGCAAATTTACAATTTACCTTTTATCCAAAAATCGACCTCTAAAAGGACAAATATTGTACCCACGGGATGCTCAGTGTTAACTACACTTATTCGAATAACTGACAGAAACATCGTTGTGCTTTCATTCTGCATGTAAAATTGTACTTTGTTAAGCCCGGAGGGGCGTAATTCACTATTTCATAGTTGATGAACTAGTATTGTTATATATTTCCAATTAAAATCATTAGTTGTAGTTAAAATGGACGGAACATAAATTTTTCAGATATTTTATTTAAAGTTTTACAGTACAAAAAACACCTTATAAGGTAAAGTTTCACTTGGAATTTTATGGTAATTAAGTTTTTAATAAAAATGAATCTATGAGTTTTTTCATGTTTTTCCAAAGTAATGGCTATATAGTAGAATACACATTTTTCTATAACCCGGACCATAACTCGTGAAACAAATTCCGCGTTTGGACAATTTTCACTCAAAAAAATTCAGTTGCATGAAAATTTTTCACATTTTTCATAAATAAATGTATCAAATGTACCTAAAGGCTATATATATATACAATTAGTTCTTTTGATTTTTCTACATATCACTTATTTTTTAACTAGAAAATATGGCAAACGATATTAGCTATATAAACTGTACCGTTTGTTGCAATGAATTGAAAAAAAAGGGGGATTCTCTTGTACCTATTTGCCTCAAACCACCCTAAAAACAAACTCACTGAATGAAATTAACGTAACAATGATTTTTTTGTCGTGTACGTATGATCTCACAAAATACATCAGCTAAGTTTTTCCGAAACACTTATAGTCCGCGCAGCATCATTCATCGTAATAAAATTCTTGCTTCAAATACTGCATGGTTGTCATGACGAGGTCAGCAAGATAAATCAATCCTTCGACTATGCACAATACTCCAAGCACGATACCGACCTGTGAAAGGTATTATTATTATTATTTTTTTTTTTTAATTTTACCGATGTACCTCGATGAATCGAAGCAAGTGACAAGTTTGCTTCATCTCACCGTTTTCTCGCTCGACACGTCAACGTATCTGTTATCCCCCGTGTAACCGATCCAATAATGCAGAGCAGTGCCACCGACCATTATAAACATGAACATGCCGATAAAGTTCATTATTATCTCCTGTGGATCGGAGGTAAAAAAAAAATGTTATTTTCTTCTTCTTCTTCTTTTATTCGATAATCGGTGACAAAAGAGTATCCCTACCATGACAGTTTTGCTGCCATCCAAAGCCTCGAAGAAATAGCTGATGAGGACGACGCTCGTGTAGATGAAGAAGCCAACGATGATGCCGGACGCCACGATCTCGACGTCCGGAGTTTTGTCCTCGTTCAAGTTCCATGTCCCACCGACGCCCAAAAACCCTCCGTTGCAGCCGACGCGGTAGAGGACAAGGATCGCTATGTTTAGCAACTGAAAAACGAATGCCCACAAGCAGAGATACAGTTTTGCACATGGAGTACTTTCGACGCGCATTCGTTTCATCTCGTATTACTCATCGCGTGGCGGAAACTCGAGTGAGTAAAAAAAAAAAAAAAAAATCGGCGAGTCATTTGTCAAACAACGCGAAGTATATGAAAAAAGCTTCTCCATCGTGGCCATTGTGCCATTAAAAAAATGTTGCACCATAAGTATTATTCCAACGTAAAAATCTACACCCACGCATTCCTGCTCGCGTATCTACGTAAATATACATATACGCGTGTGTCGTTCGACAAACAACGCCATGCTTATCGTCCAACTGATACATCACCTGTATACGGCGTGAATCACGACCGTTCGTATTCTAAATTGTAATTATTTATCGCCACACCATTCCCGATATTGCACGAAAACTTTGACAGATCTTCCGACACATTTTTACGATTTTGTATATCATTCATCATCTTTTATAACAAAGCAAGAACGTACAATTTATTTCACCCCTTTTCGAAGACCTTAAAAAAAAAAAAGAGAAATGTACTGTCAAAAATTCAGGGTTTTACGCAATAACGGAAGTATTTGTTCAACGCGAGCTTGTCGCGAAATGTGACTCACCAACTTGACCCCCTTGATCGCAATACCCCCGATCGTCTGAATGTCCATCATTGTATGCCGCTAGAAAAAAGAAAAAAAAAAAATCAACAATTTCCACTATCGAAAATAAAATAGAACGCACGGCGCGACACGGGCCCGCACACCACTCGTACACCAAGCAACGCGTGTCTCGCGGTTCCGCGTCAAAGAAAAAACTGCGTGCACGTAAGTACTCGCGCAGAGGAATCAGAGAGTAAAGTACCAAGCCCTCCTTATCTAATCTCGAACGGTGTCGCACCCACCTGTTTGGTGCAGCCTATTCCATTTGTGTATACGCGCATATATATATTATACACCTTATCGCTCCCTCTTTGGCTCATAAAGCCTTTCCACCTACATTTACGTTGTTTGTGTATACGCACCGGTGACTTGAGTCAACCAAAGCAAAAGTCATATTATATCATTGTGTTTCGGACGGTGATCTATAAACTACATTTTTAAATGTTTCATTTTACCTTTTTTTTTTTTTTTTTTTTTTTAACAAACCGGAGTCTCAAAATTGAGTAGTGGAATTACATGGAGTGAGTAAAATGTAATTGTATTGCAAATTGTTCACGCGTCCGGGGTGATTATAGTAAAATGTTGATCAATATATACGAGACATCTCGAAAAATGATGATTCAAAATCGATATCGGCCCAGTACGATTTCACTGCATGGCATAAAATCTTGATAAATAACGAAAATTTCAGTGAAAACCACGTAGTATATTGAATTAATTCATCTTTTGGGATAGGTATAGGGTAAAATCAAATAAATTGAATCGTCAATGTAGAAAGTAACAATGATTTAATGATATAATGTTATGTATAGATAGCGACATTACAATTATATAATAACGCGTGCGTACTCCGAGCAGTCGTGAAACTGTTTTTTTTTTTTTTTTTTGTTCTCCTTCTTTCTTTTTTCCCTATAGTCATTCATTCGTCCTCATGCATGTATCGCTATGAGTTGAGCCATCTTTGACAATATTTTCGCAAGTGCCCTTCTATTTACGCCTCGTATCTTTTGTATCAGTTTATATTTTACATTAAAAAAGCGATTTGGCCGCATTGCGTAGGGTGATTATTGATCTTGTGACCAAAAAAATGTACCTACATCGTAAGGACGATCCTTGTACACTGTACGTTCAATTTTTTTGTGTTTCTTTAGCCACGTCCTTTTCAGTGCTATTATCCTACTCAGTTCGAAGCGAAAATCCAAAGTTATGTCGAGTCACCGCATACGAAAATAGAGAAGTGTACTCAGTTATCCAACAAATTTTTTTTTTTTTTGTTTACCTTCGAGTATCTCTTTTTTTCTAACACCTAGGTCACATCGTATGGCTTTTTAACACCCCTTCGTACATTGACTTACTGTTTCTCTTGTTTTTTCGTTCGCCAAACGATATTTCAGTATTGGACCAACAAGTATTAATGTAGCACTGTAATCCTCCGCGCTCTATCGAAGCCAAAAAAAATGCAGTCAATTAAAATCCAAGCCAGCAATGCTTGCCGTAAAAATATCCTCGGATAAAAACGCTCTTTATTTGGCTCTAGACAATAATTTATCTACAAAGATGCACATGTCTTTTATTTTTTTTTTTAATGTACTCGTTGACGGGTTTTTTTCTTTTAAAATTTTCGTCCGTTTATTCTGAAAAAATTCAGGAACGTCTAATCTTCTTATTGATGTAACAATGATAAAACACCAAGGCAAGATTGTCCTCGGCGATACTTTGCGCTCTTAGGGTAAGTATAGTATTTATTTGTGTGTTTCGTTTTTGTCGGATATATTTTAGGCTGACTTATATCTTTAAAAAAACACTTTATATAAAATGTCCCTCTACGGGATCGTCAAAGCGAATTCTCGCTCATGCATGTACACGGTTTTATTGATAAAATCCGCGCTTTTGCTTATAACCTACGCTCTATGTGTATATATGTACAATTATAGTTTTTTTTTTTTTTTTTTTTCCTTTCATCATCTCTTTACAATAAAATGTCGAAATACAGCAACAAGGGCGTCTTTTTGTAACACAACAAGGGCAAGTACACGATAAATGTGTGTATATATATATATTCTATGTATATTTACGTATATATCTATCTATATATATTTGTTTTTATGTATAAAGAATGGAGTGCGAACAGAATGTGCGCGATAGAATTTCGAAGGACTCTCGAGTTTTTTTTTTTTTTTTTTTTCGAGAATACAAAAAACAAACAACAACGACTTGTATTACAATGTACTCGTTACATCTAAATATTATACGATTCAACGCTACATTTATTTTAAACGCGAATAAGTTTGAAGGAGAAATGTAGAGCCACTTCTGTCCTTGTCGTCATATTTATCTTTCTCACTTTTCGTTTCCATTGAAAATCTACATAGCGGAAGAGCTATTACGATACTTAGGCACATATATAAAACTCCTACAGATTTTTCGTTTTTTTTTTTTTTTTTGTTTTTTTTTTAACTTCTCTACTCCTTCTTTTCGTGGTCACCGCAATGATCTTTCATGCGTTTTTTATCAAAACACGTGTACTTGGGTGGTATTCAACAGCTAATCTTTCGACGCACCAACATTTAATTGAGCTTTCTTTACTACTTACGACTTGCACGAGCCTCAGAGATGCACTGCACACTCTCGACAACAACCGGCGAATCGTTATGTTCTCAAACCATCCGCCGTCACAGTATTTTAATCTCTTTGTGGCAATATGTATTCATGAAAAAAAAAAAAAAATTTATCGAAACAATTCTGGTGTAACTCGCAGTCTCATTTCATGCGTGACAACATTGTCAAGTTAGTTTTAGTTTCGATGAGGTGCAAACTAAACTCTACACAGTAAATAATTCCACGACAGACTAGCGTTGGTGCACTTGCCCTACTTTACAAATCATCAAGCTTCAGTCGTCAAGTTTGTGGTTTCTGCTGTATTTCACAGTTGTGTTCCCAAACAGTAGAAAAAAATAAAAAAGAGAGAAAAAAATAATTTTCATCAGCAATTACTACAAAAGCTAATGTATCAAAGTAATCTCGTTTAGAAAAGATGGCTTCTTACAAAAAAAATCAAAGGTACAAAGCCTTGTTGACTGGATATTATTGTCGTTGTGTACATTGCGTATGTGAAATTTTTTTGACTCTTAAAAAATTGTTTGTAAGACAATTCGAAGAGCGCATACTTGTTACACTGTAGTTGCGCTGTAGAAAGGATTTTGGAAACGCTTTTTTTTCATTTTTAAGACGAGTTTGCAAATATACAGACAATAACGCAATCAACGAGATGCCGCAAATGTACAGCTTAGTAGTAGGGTAACAAGAGACAAGAGAATAAAATTTAAAAAAACTATCTGTGCACTATGCTTTTACGGTGAAATATGTGCGTCCCCCTCTCTCCCTTCGGTGTAGCGCTTTGCAGACTAGAAAGTAAAAATCATTCATACATTTTTTTTTTTTCCACTATTTTTTGTTTGTCGTAACTATCCTCGTTCTAGTGACTCACATATTCAGGTTCATTTACTTGCAACGCGCTACATTCGACGCTCTCACCAAATGACAAAATTCTTATCTACCTACATAATAAAACTATTATTATTATTTTTATTATAATGCGTGACGTACAGCGAATCCGCAACGCCAAGTGCGACATGACATTACCAAACAATCGCGCGAAAAAAAAAAAAAAAAAACACAATCATTTATTTCACACGTTCGTACAATCACGGACACGTGACTCGCACCAAAATCCAAACGCGGAAGAAAAATCAAACGAGTTTTGCCGAGTCTTTAACCCATACGAGCCAACTCGCGGAGCACCTTTCGTTTTCTCAATTTTTTTCTTTCTTGTTTCGCCACAGCCAAACACAACTGGCTTATTAACCATTTTAGAATGGCTCGACACCAAAGGTACGGCATTTCAACAACGACACACTATCATCAGGTTTGAAAAAAAAAAAAAAAAATGTATATTTCAACGACACACTTGACGCGGAAAAATCGCGTGCCCGGACACAGATCTGCAATCGAAGCAGCGGTAACCTCGCTCGCCTTACAAACAACTCTACATCATGTATATTTACAACAGCCAAAAGGGGCAAATGGGATGGGGGTGGTACATGAATTCAATGGTTGGGTAACTCGAGGGAAAAAAAAATAAACAAACAAACGAACGAATGGAAGGTACAGGATCGAGGGGAAGAACCCCGATGGCCACCATCAGCACACTCGTGTGACTCGCTGATTATCTCGCAGCATCGAAGCATCGTATCGCCATAAAAATGCATGAATAACGCATTCAACGCGACACACATGTGCAACGAGCAGTGCTTCAATCGTCCTCCTCGTCGTCGTCGTCGGAGAGGACGCGTCGATGTGCCGGGGTGGCTGGCCTCGAGCAGTAACAGTGGAAATGTCAAAAGACGCAAGCGCAGTCCTCGGAGGCCCTGGCCTACCTGGCCCGTTTGCGGTTCAACTTGGCGAGCTTGCGCCGCTTGAGGATCAATTGGTACAGGCTGTCCAGGCCCTCGTGCAGGCCCTCGCCCGTTATCGCGCAGGCCGGCTGCACCCGGATGCACGCGCTTCCCGGTATCGACAACTCCAGCACCCCCAGCTGCTTCTCGAGCTCGTCCACCTCTTTGGCCCCTGAAATATATTGTTTTTACATTGTACGGAAATAACTTTGCTTTCGTTTGAGACATTTTTATTTTAGGAGAGCGAGTGCCACATTTTTTTTTGATAAGAATCAAGAGCGTAATATACATCATGTAGTGAATTTTTCAAACTCGGGTAAACAGCCACAGCCAAGTGGCTTTCAAAGTGTATACGTACAACGTTTATGTTCAAGTGTAAATACGTAAAGAAGAAAAAAGAATCCCTTGCGCAAGTACGTAGCTTGTTACGTAAATAGAATGTACTTTGGAGTTGGGTATATATTCTTACGTTTCACGTGCATGTATGTGACTTATCATTTTGTGAAAGGTACCTTTTATTTATACACTTGTCCAATTTATCCTTCGCGTAGCCCCCCCCCCCACATCGAATCAACCTATAGTTGCGAGTTTCGTTCCATTAGCATTTACCCGAAACGTTTAATTTCCGAAAGTTTATTAATTAGGTTATACGCTTCAGCTCGAGTTCGACTGCATGATTATCTTGCTTTTTTCTTTCTTTTTTTGGTATAGAGTTTACTCTACGATTTTATCTCGAGATACAAGTGCCAGAGATTCTCGTACGAGGGTTTCAAAGTTATGCTTTGTGCTCCATAAGCACATGTTTGCACAAGAAGAAGAAGAGTGTAAGTAGGTATACCCAAGCACACACGTATCCATATTTTTGATTTCCATAATTTACACTGTGTCGGGATTAATTTTGTACATACGTTTGCCGGTTCGTAATTTTCGTAAGAAAGAAAAATTTCACCTTACGAAACACGACCAACTATATACGGGTGATGTAACGGAATTCAACAAACAGTGCCTACATCATACATATTTTTTTTTAATTTCATTTCAGAGAACAAAGCAAAATTTCACAAAGTCGAAGTACAATTTGAAGCTCACCGAAGGTCAATAGTATGTGTAGGTATATAATAACTATGGCTATACATCTGTGCGAGCCCCCCTGCATCGATCAATTCGGACCTAATAAACGAATATCATACGAGAGAAACATCGGGGTCACGCGTCACGAGACTAACACGACGTTCGCGCATCGTCGGAGGGTTTACTTATTGTTATTATGATTGTTATGATGATCAATCGGGGATCGGACCGATGATAAATCAAAACGCACAAGTACACGTATACGCGACACCCTCGATCTCCGACTATAACGCGAAGCGATCACTTTCCCATCGATACCATCGCCCGATGGAAAAATTATATTTAGGTACGAGGGTGGCTCTTACGCGTATGGTGTATCATGTGGTAATAAAAATCGAGGCGTTATATGTGTACCAGCTGTATATATGTATATGTATATACGTACCAGGCAGATCTTGTTTGTTTGCGAGTATGAGTATGGGAACGCCCGCATTGTCGGGGCTCCTCGCCGTCCTCGTGAGCTCCATTTTGGCTTCCTCGAGTCTCTCGGTGTCGCACGAGTCGACGACGAATATGATGCCGTCGGTGCACCTCGTGTACGACTTCCACAGCGGCCGCAGTTTTTCCTGGCCCCCAACGTCCCACACAAGGAAATTCACCCCTGCGAGCAGAGAAAAGATTATATAATCTTTGATGGGCTTAGAGGCATCAATTATTGTGTGCTATAAAATTATACAGTATACTTTATCTCGGATGGATGATATTCGACTGTTAAGAATGAAAGATTTTCGCAACGAATCGATGGAAAAACCCTACCCCGTTGATTCTTATTTCGCGTGCTTCTATTCGATTAAAAAAAATAATAATAATAAAATAAAACAAAAATAACTTTTTGTGACTTCACGTCCGAAACAGAGCAGAGAATGAGGTATATCGAAAATACCTTGGTGTATGAAAGAATTGGCCACAAAAAAAAAAAAAAAAGTACAGAGTTCATAGTATGATTTGTCACAGAGACGCTGCAGGATGGAGAAAAGTTTGGATTTATGGAGCCCACGTGTGTCGTAACGCCGATGTGTACAGCAAAAAAAAAAATCAAGTGAATTGGTACATATACCACTCAAGAATTTGGCAGTTGCAGCAAAGCATTGCTGAGGTATCGGCCATAGAAAAGTACAAAAGTGTGTTCAACGCGTCTTTCTCTCTTGATCTGGGACGGAATTTCGAGCAGTAGGTACGGCACACGCGATCCACTTTTTTCTCGCGTACCCATATGGTATAATAGTTATTTTCCATCATCTTTTATCAGATCCCTTTTCCGGTATGGTGGATCAGCGATGCTATCCGCGAGGGTAATTTCGCGCGAGTACAATTATTTACGAGGCACACACCCACGCGGGAAGCTAGAGCGCGTCGTGCGCTACTTATTTCGGTCGAGTGTGTTATCATTGTGTGTTTTTTTTTTTTTTTTTCCACCGAAGAACAAAAATAACAACCTTCGTGGTGGGGCCGCATGGCTTCATTGTACGCGCATACCTGTACGGTAGATCTTGAAGTTTCCACGGAGCCCATCATCGGCATACGCGTGTCGAGAGACGTGCAATTTTCTACGTTCGCGTTTTTACGGAATGTACGATGACAACGACGCGCGACGGTGCGTTTAAACAGCTGGTGCGTGAGTATTTTTTTTTTTTTTTCTGTTTTTTCTTTGCCCGAGTCGTCTTTCTCCTCTTACCTTTTAACACGCGGAGAAACGCGTTGAAAATCATCATTTACGACCGAAAGCACAGCAGCAGGGAAACCTCGGTCTGGTTTCTGCCAAGCGCGTCGATGAATCTTTAACATTACTTCGTCCCGTGATTATTCGACTCGTATTGTGTTTTTCAAAATTTTTCCCCTACAAGCCACTACGATTCAATCAAACCGTAAGTCAACATCAGATTACGAATGCAACGTGAAGAAAAAAAGATTCCCCTCTTCGGCCTTCTTTTTTTCCTCAAATGAGCTTTTTCTACCTGTACGAAAGTTTGTATCATCTCGAGATGGGCTTCTCGGATTGGCAATTTGATAACAGGGTCAACGTATGCGAACAGCAGTAATACTGTGCCTTGATTAATTCATGGAGAAACGAAAAAAAAAAAAAAAAAAAACTGCGAAAATAGTAGTTGATGCATCTGACACAAAGGATCGCTTTTTTCTCGTTTGAGTTGAGTATTTGAGCATCATCGCATTAAATTATTGCAGCAATCGAACAAAGAAAATAAGAAGGAAAAAACACGTTTTTTCCATTCCGAGAAACCGATACCTCTCCTTCTCTCTCTCTCTCGTCTCAATGCAATAAAATATGTGGCATAGTATACACACACACATACACACACACAAAACGCACTGACTCATCAGTCGTCCCTTTCGAAGCTGATGCGCTGCAGCATCAAAGCAATCGCGAGCCAGCATCTTTATTCCACTGTTAACACTCCTCGCCAAGCTAAAGCTGCTCGGTTCATTTTTTTTTTCTCTCCCTCCCCCCTTCTGTCTTAACAAGGCTATTTTATTCGACGTAAGCCCCCAATTGAGGATCAAATAAATAAGTAGTGGGTTGCGCGTCTTCGAGTGACCTTACACTGCTGCTGATCATTTGTTTTAACTTTATGTATATGTACACATCTCATGCTCAATTCTTCCTTCACGTGTAGGTATAACAACTCGAATGCAAAGTATTATCGTCGCGTCGGCCTACATTCATTCATAGAAGCCTACACTATCTGTATGGTCTATTTTTTTATTTTTATGTACCAACATCATTTTGCGTCAAAGTACATGTAGAAAATTAATCGTCATTACAACTATATGAATCAATGTCCTCGTGTTGTTTTGTAAAATCAGACCTCAGCAGCTCGGTGAGAATTTCGTGCATTGAAGGACTGGGTGTATTGTATATATACGTGGATCAAAGCTCTGTGTGTTAACACGTTCGACGAATTAATTAATAGTAACAAGAGCCGCCCGTCCTTATAGGCTCGAAACGCAATATCGATCAAATTGCCAATATTCAAATAAATAAGTGCAGTCAATTATCATATCACATCTTAAAATCAACAGAGTTTGCCAATTTAGATATACTTAAATCCAAAGAGAATTTAAAACTATGTATGTAAAATAAAAGATCAAGGACCGATGATCTCTTTAACTTTGAAAAGTTGCTCGTGTAATTTTTTTCCTTTGTTTCAAAAACGTGATGTACACCCCCAAAGCCATTATGTATTTCAAAGAGTCATGTACTTAGAGCAAAAAAAAAAAAAAAAAAAAAAAGGGGAAAAGGGTTGGAGGCCGTACAATAAACTGACCTTTGGCCTTGCCGATGCTTCCCCGGATCCTCTCGCAGTTGAACCCGATGGTCGGCACGGTGTTGATGTACTGGTCGAACTTGAGCCTGTAGAGGGCCGTCGTCTTCCCGGCGCTGTCCAAGCCCAGCATCGCCACGTGAAGGGGCGTGCCCGTCGGCAGGGACTCCAACAGGCTACCCCCGCCCGTGCCGCTTCTACCCATTCCTGCGCCCATTTTACTATCCACTAATCGGAGTGTTTTTTTTTTTTTTTCCCTCCGAGTGTTATTGCGAGCTATCCTTTTTTTCGAAGGGCATATATGTACTCCTTTCACTGCTGCATCTGTAAATTAAAGGAAAACCATATTTTTACCCCTTATTGTTTTTCATTTGTTTCTTGTATACAATTCACAATCATTTTCATCGTCAAATCGCATGGAAATACATTAATTGTTCATTCGATAAATATATTTTTATTATTATTATTATTATTATTATTATTATTATTCATTTAGATGTGCTAAAATCAAGAGTCAAGTGGTTCTACGTACATTATAGAGGGAGAGGAGGGATCATGAACCAAGAGATACTCGATTAAACTTTGCGAACACAAAAGTATCGAGCGACGGTCCAACGCTTATATATATTATACTCTTGAAACGGTACAGGTGTATACATTTCTGAGATACAGGCCACAGTTGTATTTACATACCTGTAGGTTTTTCGCCGCTTATTAGGAACATCGAGTTTCCAACAGAGACACCACATAAATATATAAGTATGTCAAATGGGTCAACGATTTCGCATACCCATACATATATGTATATTCGAAAACGTTTTGTTTTCTCTTTTTTAACGGTTAATTTCTACGATTTATGCACTGTTGGGGGGAAAGGGGGGGGGGAAGGCGTAAATTTATGGTAAGGTGAAGCCTTGATTTTTTTTACCACCCGAAGCGACATTCATGTATTCAAGCGAATATAGCACCGGTTTCATGAGACATTTTTTTGCCAATTTCATTGTCACAACAAAATCGAGGGACCGCCTATGAAACTCTGCTCGGCCTCATATTACTACTGTGCGCTCCAAACGCGAGCTCAATCAGCGAGCTGCTAATGAAAAAATGAGCTCCTCGTTACGCGCGTGCACAGCCTCGCGAGTAAAGGGGGGGAAATAACCCAGTCGAATTTCTGCTTGGGCGACCAAACGTATACATAGACAAGCACACGCGAACCTGCGATGTTATAAGTACGTATGTATAACACAGAATGTATGGAGTGCGAGACTCTGCGTAACTAATTGCATCTGGTGATGAGAGTCTTCCTCTAGAGGAGTAATTTTTTCTTTTTTCTTTTTTTTTCATCTCTCTCGGAAGTAAAGTTTATAATTTCGAAAAGGTAAAATGAAAATAAGACGTGTAAGATGGACACGTGCAGTGATTTCGCTCGTTTGAGCTTTGGTGGTTTCTTTTTCTTTTTTTTCGGAGAACAATATGGGAACAATCGGTTCGTGTACAACAAAGGTAATTGCGGGCGTATGGGAGGTCGGGAACACACCCATAACGACGTATACAAGTGCGTATATACAAAGGATATTCGTGTCAACGTCATGGCTGTGATTCCACAGAATACCTCCACGTGTGTATGTACGTACGTATATACCCTATTTACGCCCCAAAGGGAAGAAAAAGAGAGATCGCGTACAATCGCGGCTGTTGCTGCTTATGGTGAGTACGGCTTGTTTTAAAAATTCAACGCGATACCAATCAACGTGTGTCCTGTATACACAATATACGTGTATATTTGTGTGCTCTGGTACACAATACGTACCACATTATCTATGTTTTTTGCTACTGCAATACAGTAGGCGTTTTCTGCGCGTTTTGCACAGTGTGGGATAGAGAAATGGGAGGGCAAAAAAAAAAAAATCGAGGCACACAATTGGTTCAGTGTTGATCAAAAATGTGGAAATTTTTGCGTTTAAGTATACACCCTATTACAATCTATTTGTTTTCAGCCAATAAATTGGAAGGCCCCTTTTTTTCCCCCACCGAGTCTCTATTGAATCGAATGGATACAAACAGTGTAAGGATTAAGAGGATTGAGAGGTTTCAGGAAACAGGATCGGCTTCGACGTACCTCATGCACTTGCGTTGATTCCGCGGAATCTTTTGTGTGTAATATGGAGTAAAAAAAAAAAAAAAAAAAAAAAAAACTGCGAAAA